AATGAATCAGCCATAGTGGAATGCCTTTTTGAAAAATTAGAAAGGTGGGCTTGAAGAAAGGCTCTTCAGAACAAAAAATGAATATAATTCACTTCAGCTGGTGAACATTTGTCTGAAGCGTTATTAGGAGAAGAGCAAACTTTTATTTTTTCATCACGTAACTTCAACAGCCATTTTGCTTCCAAAATTTCAGATAAACATATTATAATGTACTTCATTGCTATACTTTTCATAAATTTATGACACGAAAGAAAATTTCCAAACTTCTGCGGACCACAGATTGCCCAAGTGGGGAGCTATTTTTGCTGTGACCCCACAGTAGGTGCACACCAGGGTCAGAACTGGTGCATATGGCATATTCTGGGGGTTACAAGTGTGCACTTCAGTAGAGGAAATTTTGCTACCATTCCAGGGCTACACTTGGTGCGAAAATGTGACATAACAGGAGTAACACACAAATGCACCAATCGTAACCTTGGTGTAACTTATTTGTTTACAACTGTGACCCAGCTGAGTAATCCTGGTGTGAACACACAATTGGTGCACATTAGGGATATGCATGTGCAACAGAAGAACTTTGGTATACTTCTGGTGTACAGCAGAGTCACTGTGTAGAATTACAGACATATCCCCTGTGTGGAACAATTTCCCCACTCGGGATACATATGGGGAACACTGTGCATTACAGTATTGACAACTGGTCTTGCAAACCTGAGCATTCTCATTCTTGTTGTAAGTTTCTTCTCCTTCCCTCCCTCCCACCACTTGGACTACGTCTATTGAAAAAAAAAAATAGGCAAACATAAATAAGCAGAAGATGATGAACGAGGGATACTGAAGAAACTCCACCATTTCCGTACTTTGAGAGTGTAGAAGATGACGGCATTGATGCCGGAGAGTTGCTGGAAGAACATGAGCCCCAGGCTGACAAACAGGGCGCGGGCGTTCAGCGGGGAGATGAGGTCGCGCAACTTTGGGCCACCTGCGATGGCCGCAGAGTTGGCCTGCTGGGCCTCCATCTCCTGCATCTCGGCCACGACGTCGTGGTCAGCAGGCCGCAGCCACTGCAGTGCTCGGAAAGCCCGCTTCTTTTTACCTAATGATGAAAATTGAAAGGAAAAAATAATACATTTCTTCTTCTCAAATGCAATATTATAAACCTCTGATTTTTCATTTGCTAAACAACTCTGTTGCAGAATTAAATTTATTCACAAATTGCTAAACTAGCTTACTGAAGTCACAGTTGCAGCTCTTGAAAGCAAAGATGATTCATCCCACTGGAATCCAGAATAATAACGTACCTTTAGACAGGTACCATCGCGGGGTTTCTGGCACCCAGGCCATGCCAATGCAGAACAGCACCGGAACAATAGAACACACCATGGCCAAAGTGGACCAGTTTAGGAATGCCCCAAACACGTAAATAAACATCACTCCTGCAAAGGAAACAAGTGAAGAAACATAATCACGAAATTTCTTCATTAGATTGGAATATTCAACAGCTCATCAACTGCTTCAAGCCACGTTGAAAATTACATTCCTAGGAATCAATAAATGAAAAAAATGTATATAACCTCTACCTATAAAATTTTGGACATCTCCAAAGTTACTTTCTGAGATGTTTAACTTCTTGGGTCAATTGATATATACGCCTTATCGTTCTTGGCAATATTTCGCTAATTTAATTTTACCATGGAGGACGTTGAACATATTTTCTGCATCAGTGATCTTTGATAAATTCCAGACCACTCAAAAAGCATGTTCACTCACATAAAATTTATACTTACGACTACATAAATGTATGAAACGATGGAGAATCAAAAATTTCCGAGATGAACCAGGTGAAGAACATAAATTGAGAAGTATAATGAAGATAATCCACACTGAGAAAAAAAATGAAAGAAGAAACGAACCAGAGTTGCCGATGGTGGAGGGCAAGATGCCCAGTCGGCCCCGGATGTCGGCCTGCGCCACTTCCGCCAAATAAATTGGCACAGCCATGGACGTCACGCCGACGCTGAGTCCGGCCACTGCTCGGCCCGCGTAGATCATGAGCACATCCTGGGCGAACGCGATCAACAGCCATGCTGCAAATGCAATAATAAAAAAAAACTGGTTACAACAAACACCTTTGCAAAACATTTTTCAAAACAACAAAATTCTTCTTAGGTCCAGACAGAAAACCCATTTAAATTAAAGTAAAGATAACCCAATTTTTTGGACCCACAGACCAGCAGAGTTCTGTATCAAAAAAGCTTTGTCTAAAAGACTTTACAGCAGGTGCTGGAAAAGATTTTTGCAAAAATAAAATCAAGAACCAATGAAGTAGCATGGAATATGTGCTCAGATAATGAGACAATTTTTGGACCCACAGACCTGCAAACTTCCATAAAAATTTTTGCAAACTGGCAAATTTCCACAAAAAAATTTCTGCAGACCAGCAAAGTTTCATAAAATTTTTGCAGACTCAAAAAAGCTTTGTTTGAAAGACTTTACAGCAGGTGCTGGAAAAGATTTTTGCAAAAATAAAATCAAGAACCAATGAATTAGCATGGAAAATGTGCTCAGATAATGAGACAATTTTTTTGGACCCACAGAACAGCAAATTTCCATAAAAATTTTTGCAAACAGGCAAATTTCCTTTTAAAATAACATTTTTGTTTTCATAACATTTTTGCAAACTCAAAAAAGCTTTGTTTGAAAGACTTTACAGCAGGTGCTTGAAAAGGTTTCTGCAAAAATAAAATCAAGAACCAATGAAGCAGCATGGAAAATGTGCTCAGATAATGAGACAAGTTTTTGGACCCACAGACCAGGAAAAGTAAAAAAAAACTTTTGAAAACTGGCAAATTTCCTTTTTTTAAATTCTGCATACTGGCAAAGTTTTATAAAATTTTTGCAGACTGACTCAAAAAAGCTTTGTAAAAATCTGACTTTACAAGCAGATGCTTGAAAAGGTTTTTGCAAAAATAAAATCAAGAACCAATGAAGCAGCTATTGTAGAAAGTCTTGCAAAATTAGAAAAATGAGACTGAAGAGATTTTTCTCAGCATAAAAAAAATTATCATTTCAGCAGGTGAAAATTTAATCTGAAGCATCATTAGGAGAAAAGCCAACTGTTATTTTTCATCAGATAATTTCAATAACTGCCATTGTTGTCTTTCCAGGACTTCAGATGAAGATAACATACTTCATTGCTAACTTTCACACATTCATCATGTAGAATAAAATGTCCTGCAGACCTGAAAAAAAAACTTCTGCAGACTGGCATTATCCTAATTCTGAAGATTAGGTGGTACTCACTTTCATTATGTTAAAACAGAAACTTAACGTGTTCTTATTTCCAGAACTTTATATTTGTGACTTGTCCAATAAGTTGTTTTTTGGTCCTCGAACTTAATGTCATGAGAGTTTAAGGTTACCCACTCACCCCACAGCTCATGAAAAAAAACACTAAGAGCTACAAACAGCCATCAAAACATTGCTTATGATCTTGAGCATTTAAAAACAAACTCAGTCTCAGATAATAAGATAGAATTGCGTCAAACATTAGAAATGATGTTTCTTATTGAGAAAATTTCACGTGATTTCGAAAGCACTGAGTTTTGATTTTTGCAGGGGAAAACTAATAACGGGATTACGCACAATTGCCTTTCTTTGAAATGAGAAATTCCTCAAAATTACACGCTTCCACACAAACACGGAATACTCGAAGCACGTTGATAATCACGCACAAAGAAATATTTTCGCAGGATTTTCGGTTCGAAAATAACTGCAAAAAAATATATACCCATAAAAGATCTTCGCGAATCGACGTACAGTACTGCACTTGAGATAATTTAATATACCACATTACCCCTCTTTATCAGGGTATTTTACAAATTTTTGCGAATCCAAAAGTTTATTTTTCAATATATCGCTCAATTCAAAAATTTATAAGTTAGAGTTATTCATTCCTGCATCGTCGAAAAAAGAAAAAAAAGATCTGCGCACGAATTTAACAATCATTATTTCCCCTGCTGATCACTAATAGATTTTGATTATTAAATTCGTTTAAAATTTTCAAGAACAATTGGTTGATCGCAGACCAAAATACTGAGCTGTATTGAATAATAAAAAATCAGAAGAACCTCGTTACAACGAAATCGTCGTTTTTATCAGTTTCTGCCAAATAGTGAAAATACCGCCGAATATTATTAGAACCACTTGGTACAAAATATTTGGAAACGACGAAACTTTGTTTTCTCCCTTATCCCAATAATGGTTGCGTATAGTAACGGGATGTTTTGCACTTCACTTTCCGAAGGTATCTCAACCTATTTTCCAAAACCTCGGTACAACGAAGCCACTGGAAATAGTAAATTAGCTTCTTTATAACGGAAAAGTCGTTGTACAGAAACTCAAATAATATTTCGGATATTTTGCAGGGATCGACCTACAAAACAACTTAGTTTCAATTCATCACAGCAAAATTTCGTCACAACGAACTTCGTTACCATGATTCTTTTTTTATCCCGGCAGTTTCTTCATAAGCTAATGAATTTTCTTCCTTCGCTTCAAGTACGGGCAATAAACGCGTCCGCCAATCCCTTAGTCAGCAGGAGAGGTCCCCCACATTGCAAAAATTGAATTCTGCAGAGAACTTATTCATCTTCCTCACTTTCCAATTGAATAAAAGAGCAAGGGACAAGAATTGTTGGTATTCATGCATTCATTTCGCTCGCCTGAGGATAAAAGTCAACAGCACCCGGTGTTCCCAGGCGGTCTCCCATCCAAGTACTAACCGGGCCCGACGTTGCTTAACTGCCGTGATCGAACGAGAACGGGTGCTTTCAACGTGGTATGGCCGTTAACATACGTAACACAGAAGAGAACAGGGTTTCATAGCGCAATAAAACGTATCTCATTTCGGGCAATGCAATAATGAAATCTAGGTAGCTAGAATAACATGTAAGAAATACAGCACGTAAAAGGGACTCTCCCTGCGTGTAATTTCGAATCACTGTGCCAGAGCTCAACGGAATCTTCCCTAGCTTGCCAGGATGATCAGACACTGTATCTTACGCTTCCTTCATATCTTATATCTAATTCAAGTGGCATAATTTCATTCTCCCCTTTTCTGATCAATCCTCGGAAAGTCCACTTGATTCAAAAGAAAAATCTCGAGTATAGCTCATTGTACTGCTCGGCATTATTCCTATACCCTACGCTGTATACTGTTCTTTCTAAAAACGGGGCTTCATCCCGGCACCTATATATACAGTGGAACACTCGCTGCGGGAAGACCTTCAGTATAAGGCGGACCTTCGTCGGCAACATTTTGTTACTGAATAAGGAATTGATTTTCCTCTTTTTTCGCAGTAAGAAAAATTCCTGTCTTCATTATGCGTGCGTGAGCCACATAAGTTTCAACTAAATGGCCAAACACGGGAACACTTGAGTAGAATTTTAAAAAATCATGTCCAAAAATTATAAGGACTATAATGTTTGTGTGCAAAAAATTTAGCAATTCAGGAAATATGAAGCTCTAATAAAAACGTATTTAGGCTTCCTAGTATGTAAAAAAAGGCACTCTTTTTTAAAAGAAATGGTTGTTTGGAAGGAAACTGCTTGATTTCAAAAGAAAATACAGTTCATAATGAATAAATGCTCTTCTAAAGCATTTATTCTCTGTTTTTTCCCAGCTGATACTGAAGGCACTCTTTTTTAAAAGAAATGGTTGTTTGGAAGGAAACTGCTTGATTTCAAAAGAAAATACAGTTCATAATGAATAAATGCTCTTCTAAAGCATTTATTCTCTGTTTTTTCCCAGCTGATACTGCAGTAAGATTACTGATTTTTTTAGACAATGTAACAAAGGAAGGTTCGTTGAAACAAGAAAATTGATTTTCACATTCTGAATTTTCCCCATTGCATGTTTCATCACAAGAAGTTGAAAATTTGGGACATTCTTTACAAAATCTGTTGTGAAAGTACTTCAGAGGTTTTAGACTAGCCATTGTTACTTGTTTCCATCAAAATTTCAGCCCTATGCATCCTCAAAGAACCAAGAATCTCATTGGAGCAAATCTTTTGTTATAAAGAATTTTTCCATCCAGTCCTCAGGACTCTGTTCTAACAAGATTTTCCTGTACATGCTTCAATGATAAAGAATCTACCATATTTGACCCTTGTGCAGCAAATTCAGGATCTGTTTGCAAATTTTTGTCATCATAAAGTGCTGCAAATAAAAAAAATATGATTTTTTGAACCAAGGCCTAGGTCAGGAAAAAGCCCAATATTATTTTTATAATCCTTCAGAAAATATTGGTTCATGAATAAAAAATAAATCCTCTTTGGGTGGCGTTCTCTCATGCATTCACAGTATATGATTAACATTGGGGATTTCTTGACACATTGGAATTTTCTGTACCTGGATGTTTCCTGAATTAGCACAGGTAAACGTGGGGGCATTTCAGTGACATTGGGTCAAACTACAGTGAGACCCCCACAAGCAGACACCTTGACGTGCCCACAATTTGACATAGGGACACTAATTTTCCCATAAAAATTAATAAAAAGGACTGACATGTGGACACTGATTCAACATAGGGACATTTTGTGATGAAATTGGAAATAAGTTTCTGGCCAAATTACAAGAAACAGATATTGTCAACCCTAAAATTGATGTAAGAAAAGTTCTTGGGCATTTTTCTCACCAATTACCATCCATTTAGCTAATTTAAAAAATTCCCTCCAGCATAGAGGGACTTCCTTCTCTCTTTTTCACTTGAATGTTATTTTTACATATAATGTCAACATTTCTATGTACTGTACATGGATAACAGTATTTAATTCCTCAAATGTCCATATTGTGTTAAAATATATTGACTGAATCAGTTTCAATTGGGGGACAATTTACATTCTCATGGAATTCTGGTGAGGATTTTGTTCAGAAAACATCAATTAAGAATTATTTAATGTAAGTCTAAGGTAAAATGAGACTCAACTTAGGAACATTTTGACTTAGGGACTCTCTTGATGCACCAATTATATCCGCATCTTGGGGTCTCACTGTAAAAGTAATTTTAAAATAAAACAGATGATAGAACAGAAGTGAATTTCGATTTTTTGGGAAGCAGCACAATGGAATTATGAGACTCAACTTGGGGACATTTTGACTTAGGGACACTCTTGATGCACCAATTATATCCGCATCTTGAGGTCTCACTGTAAAATGCCCCTCCCCCTGAAGAAACCCTGACTTATAGCCACAGGATGGCCAAGGACCGTCGCTGTCCAAGGTTTAAACTTTTAAAGACTGAATTGAAAATAAAGTGCTTTCTGCATTCCACCAAGGTCCAGTATACTCAAGCAGACTATAATTGGCTATAGTTTTCCGCGAATTGAAGAGATTAAAAATGGTAGTTCAACCCCATCAAACCCGGAACCCGACCGTTGCATCCAACAACCGCAACCCCCTCAAGACCTTGTCCTCCACAAAAAATCGACCGACCTTGGGGATACAGCCAGGAAACGAACCGAACCGAACTCAGGCCTTCGTGTGCAAGAATGTAAGTAGACCAAAAATATAAAAAAAAGTAAAAAAAAAAAAAAAAGAACTACCTCGTCGTCAAGCATGAAGCACGCAATCCGAATCAACTCAGTATAGTACCCGAAGCAAATGAGAAATCCGTGGAACGAACCAAGCCAGCAAAAGCGAAAGGTGTCGCGTTAACATCGACTGGTTTCTCTCTCTGTTTCATTTCATTTTTTTTGTGCATAATTATTGTTCAGAAAAATCACGTGAGGAGGGCGACGACACGAGAAACCACAGAAAAAGAAATAACCTGCACGACAGAAATTTGTCACGGAGCAGAGAAAAATTTGCGTGTGTGTTTTTTTTTCAAGAACACGGAAAAGCCGCATTATTTAGGCGAATAACACAAAAAGAAACCCTTGTCACAGGCAAATGACTTGAATCAATGACACCCATGTTCCCCATAATTAATCAATATAGCTATAGGTTCATCTGAAGAATCTAAACAAGCAGGACTTCAAAATTTTTTTTCAGAAGACTGAAAGACAAAATTATACTATCTTACATCAACCAAATCAATGACATCTTCAGTTTCTTGTGGCAACTGTTGAATTAATATTGTAGAATGGATTGATTGAATTGAACAAGCTTTATTTTCTGCATTTTCAGCATTCATAAGGTTCAAGCAATGTTCCCTCATCCAACCCCCCTCCCCACCTACATTCATCCAAACACATATTCCATCACAGGATTGAAAATAGGGAAATGAGCTGTATATGGATACTAAAAGTAAATACAATGCATCCCAAAATGTACACTTGCACAACTCATGTAAATACATAAACTTTCTTCCGATCCCTGATTTAAAAAATATCAATAACAAAAATTAAACCGCAAGGCAATCACGGAACCCAAATTAAACCACAAAGTGTTCAGCCTGCTCCCAGATAAGTTTTAGTTGATTAAACAATTTTGAGAGAATCTTTGATGAGAAATCATATAAAGTTAACAGTTTATCTGGGCCCTCTAAGATTTTGGAAAGAGTCTTAATCATTGAATTTCAAGAGTCGCAAATTTTTTGAAGCTCATTTCTGTATTTGTAAAATGCTGGGGACCAGAAAAGAAGGTGCTTGGTAATGCATTAACCAAGGTATTATGCTCCAGAAATTACACCACTTACACACCCTTGAAATTTTGATATTTTTGTATTAGAATGCCATGCACTTGTCAGAAGAGCTATGGTATCATGTACCAAAAGGAATGTTAGGGGAATGCATTTTTTTAACCATCCAATTGAATTTATAAAAAAAGTACTGCATCTGTGAATTTGTCAATGCATCAAACAACCTGTTCTCAGAAAGTGGACACTTGAAAATCAAAAGAAAATATGTGAGAAAGCATCCAGTATCTAGTTTTCTGGATGACTATGTTTAAAAAAAAAAAATTTACATGTCCATATGAAACATTATTTTCAATTGAAAACAAATTTAAAATGAACATATCTTTCTAGGATGTGATAACTACAGGAATTATTTTCAGGGATATACTGTACTGTGCATTACCATAGCTTCAGAACTGATGCAATTTTTGGATCATTAAAATTTATGGTAGTTTTTGGCACAAATAGTTTGTCTTACATTGACCAGTAGGTTGGACTCACTTCCAACAATGGGAAAAAGTTTATAGCTCAGCCTTCACAATTTAATCACACTATGACATCTGCTCTTGACAGACCAGGAGTTACATTACATCTCAGCCCTGTTGCTTGTTATTTGGCTGAATGATCAATTCACTGATCAACAGGTGTGAAGTTTAACCTTGATAACTCATAAACCTACCTATGTCAACATTATCTGAATTCTGTTGACAACAATACATAAAAAATTTCTCTAATTCAAAGTATTTTTTTCTCAAGCCTCCTTATCTCAAATGCTCTGGAGGCCTTTTGGCTATTATTTTATTGGCACAGGAAGCAAGAAAGCAATAAAAATGGAATTTGATGTGTTTTGAAAGGAAGTGGGGGACTATAATTGGGCAAATGAGCCCTTGTCTCCAAGTTGAGCATCCTGTAAACTCACAAAAGAACCAATTCATGGCCCAGCAGAATACTACCAATCTCAATTTCCTGTAATTATTCTTTCTTTCCCAAGCAGAAATGCTTGTTTCCCTAACTCAAATTTTTGTTGTTGGTCCTTCCCTTGAAGTTCTTTTAGAGAGGTTTGCCTGATGTGGAATTCTCAGCTGAGATAAATCTTTCCATGAACTCTTCTACAACAGAGTTGGAATATTTTCAAAAAATTTCTCGCCCAAAACCCCAGAAACAAATAATTAGACAGAGCAGCAAACAAAACAGAAATGTAAAGTTTGTTGCATGCGATTCTTTCTGATTGTACCATATGAAAGAAAATCCAGTTTTCCCAAAAAACAGAAGACCAAGGGATCGCCGGGATTTTTTTTCAATCCGGATATGCAGGCGGAAATTGAATTTTACAGGATCCCGAGAAGCACTACATCAAAATCTGTCAAGAAAACAAAAGCAAATAATATAAAGCACGTTTTTACTCACAGAGGAAGAAGGGTAAAGATAGTCCCAATAAGGTCCTCTTCCTGCCCAACTTCTCTATGAGGGTTCCTCCAACCATTCCACCACAAAGAGCGCACAATGGCATCAAACTGCCAATCCAGCTTTCCTGCAAATTAATTTGAAAAAGAGGAACGAAAAAAAAATTAAAAGCATTGAAACACACAAAATTAATTTTTAAAGACTAAAAAAGTGCATAATTTCCTCACAGCCGAAGTTAAATATAACAGTAATTCATCATAGTACAGTACTGTGAAGTGCTGAATTTTCAAAATCAAAAATTAATCCAATGAAGAATAAATGCGTTTTCTTCAGCTTCTGGAAGATGCTGATTTATTCTGAAATTTTCTTGCTACCCTCTAGCTATTATTTTATTGACACAGAAAAAAAGGGATAAAAATGTAAAAATGTATTCCAAAATTAAAAAAAAGAATTATTGGGAAAATGATCCCATGCCTCAACTCATTTAAAAGAGGCAATTCAAGGCCTAGAATATCATTGAACACAATATCATGTATTTCTTTTCTCGTTCATTTTACTAAAAGTTTTTCCCCCTCACTAAAATTATTTTGCTCAGCTTTACTTGAAGAGGTTCGACAGTATCTGCCTTCCTGCGTTCTATTTGACTATTTCTCCTTATTCAACATCGCCGCCAACCATCACCACATTCCACGCATTAATTTAACAAAATGCGGCTTATTTAAAATAAATTAATTGAATGGACATAAAGACAAAAATGGAGCACTGTACCTCATCTGGAGTAGGACGGATCCAACTGTCCGTGGAGTTCATGGAAACCAAAGCTGGAGAAGTGTAAGCCGAATGCATCCCGACCATCAGGTTACCAAAAGACGCTGCCAAAGCTGCTAAAATCTGCGCAAAAATTGAAAAAAGAAACCAAAATCTCAATACTCAGTCTAGGAATTCAAAGAGAGAGAGAGAGAGAGAGAGAGAGAGAGAGAGAGAGAGAATTTCCTCACAGCCGAAGTTAAATATAACAGTAATTCATCATAGTACAGTACTGTGAAGTGCTGAATTTTCAAAATCAAAAATTAATCCAATGAAGAATAAATGCGTTTTCTTCAGCTTCTGGAAGATTCTGATTTATTCTAAAATTTTCTTGCTACCCTCTAGCTATTATTTTATTGACACAGAAAAAAAGGGATAAAAATGTAAAAATGTATTCCAAAATTTAAAAAAAGAATTATTGGGAAAATGATCCCATGCCTCAACTCATTTAAAAGAGGCAATTCAAGGCCTAGAATATCATTGAACACAATATCATGTATTTCTTTTCTCGTTCATTTTACTGAAAGTTTTTCCCCCTCACTAAAATTATTTTGCTCAGCTTTACTTGAAGAGGTTCGACAGTATCTGCCTTCCTGCGTTCAATTTGACTATTTCTCCTTATTCAACATCGACGCCAACCATCACCACATTCCACGCATTAATTTAACAAAATGCGGTTTATTTAAAATAAATAAATTGAATGGACACAAAGACAGAAATGGAGTACTGTACCTCATCTGGAGTAGGACGGATCCAACTGTCCGTAGAGTTCATGGAAACCAAAGCTGGAGAAGTGTAAGCCGAATGCATCCCGACCATCAGGTTACCAAAAGACGCTGCCAAAGCTGCTAAAATCTGCACAAAAATTAAATAAAAAAAACCAAAATCTCAATACTCAGTCTAGGAATTCAAAGAGAGAGAGAGAGAGAGAGAGAGAGAGAGAAAAAAAAATTCACGATGGCATCTGCACAAAATCAAGGCCTCAAAGAAAATCTTCGTCAGTGCAAAAAAAGGTCCAGGAATTTGCACTCCCACGATCGGATGCCGACCCTCACGTGTGGAAAATTTCCACAAATAATACAGTATGCATAGTTGTTTTTTTTTTTGCACCCTTACACAGGTCTTTTTTTTTGTGGCATTCATACTTTCGATTCATCTCAAACAAAAAGATCAGAAAAATCCTTTCAATGACCCTTTTCTTCTATGCCAAAAATTCCGGTCGGTTAAGTAGAAGAGACATTTTCCAAATGATGCTTGACATTGCTTGATGGAAAATTTTCGACAAGTTTTCAAACCCCGATTTTCTTCCCATCTAAATCTCCAAATTACTGCGAATTTGGAAGAAAAGATTCAAAACCTTCGTTTAGTTACTGAGAACTGCAACTGGATTCTGAAAAAAAACGCCAGGAACTTCATTAGAATCGATCAGGAAGAAGATAATTTGTTCAAGAAAGTACTACATCAGACTGAAGCAAAAACAAAATATAAAAGTGAAAATATCCGAAGTTTCTTATCTCGAACAGTAATTTTGAGTTCTTCGATTTTTACCATCTCTTCGAACGTTTTCTGTTAATCTTGAAGAGTATTAACTGTTCTGCAGTTCAAAGAACCATCGCTTTAAAAAAAATGTTCCTGACCGTTGAAAAAAAAAAAAACAGAAACATTCGACGAATTCAGTGAATCACAAGGGGATCTTCGAAACCATTTTTAAACATAATGATACTATCTTCGGAAGCAATTCGGGCAAATATGAACCGTACAAAAAAGCCTAAAAATATCTGTAAAAAAAGTCGAGCTTGCGTAAAGTTTAAAACGATACCTAGTTCAAGCTCATTCTCATCTTTCTTGATGCAAGAAAAACGTTGAAATCGGCCAACGAATTCCCTCATGGAACTTCAACAACAAACATCTCACACACTAATTAACGAGGAAAAACTCAAAGCTTTTACGGGAGAAAATGATACAAATCAAGAAAATTGAAATTCTTCATGAGAGTACAGTAATGTATATCCTGAGATGATAATCACAATAAATTGCAAGAACTGTACACGTGCTAAGAAATACTTTTAAATTAAACCCAATTTTTGTGGGAATTTTTCAATTCCATTTTCCTTTGTGCCTTCGATCGTGAAGGCTTACAATAATTTTCAATTAAATCCCACTATTACTAACTACTTTTTTCTTAAACTTTTCGTGCTAATTCACTTCCTTTCACTCGCATTTTATTTTACACGGGCGACGATTCAATGATCATTCACATCATAAAATGGTAAATCATGTCTTAGACAGCAAATAAATTGAAAAACAAACCCGTCACTGGAATAGATTACAGTAATTTCAAGGCATTCCACTTTCAATGTATTTATAATAAAGTATAAATGGAAAATTTTCATTCGGATCATGTAAATTTTTGACATTTTTATGTTTCAATTCAATCTCACAAATAATTTCAAGCATTCGTTTCATCAAAAGATGTACTGAAAAAATTATTTCTAATTCAATTCAATCAGGTTACAGGGCCGTCAAAAAACAGAACATACATATCATGAGTAGTAAACATAAAAAAAATCTTGAGTTTCGCAAAATAAAAATAGCGGCCTTGTTAATACAAAAGAGAAAAATATGTTTCTGGAAATTTCCACTTGAAATAATACCCTAGCTATACAGCATACAGCGGAATATTTTTCTAACGAATAGTAAGTGACAGACGAGCTAAAGAAACATTTTCCGGAGTTAACGCAATGAAAGTCAACCTGATGTCCCTCGAATCTTCAGGTTTTTTTTTCGCATAGCAGAGAATTATATCCGAAAAGTAAAAATAAATATCGTAAGGAACGCACACCAATAGAAACTCGGAGCAATTAATTGCCTCATTCACAGTTAAAAAGGAGAAAATTGTCGTCACAGTTTCAAAACTTCCAAAAGCTTTTATGGACGTCTGATATGATGAAGTTTACTTGACGGCATTTCGTAAAATAGCAAAGGATGATCGTTCAACAGACTTCCCTCTGATAAAAAAAATTCTAGCACTTTCCTCAGAAATCAATTTCCAACTGAAAAGTATCAAGAAATGTTTTGCTTTTCGAGTTTTGAATACCACAAAAATGAAAAAGAAGAAAAGAATTGTAAGATCAACAGCAAAGCTATATTAAAGCAAGTCTCCGTTCATTCGATTTGAATTTTTCTCAACAGCATGCAGCACTCCTGACTAAGGCAATTTCTTAAAAACCAGCAACAACATTTTTGGTTAACGTTCATATTCTACATCTCCAAAACTCAAATATACCAAAATATTTGTAAACCAAGACTTTCGACTTACAGCATGATTAACAGATCAGTAACATTCCCAAGGGGAGTTTGAAAAATAAAATGGCTTGGAATACACTCATCGGTAAGATCTCGACCAACAGCGAGTTCATGAGATTCGAAAAATGGGGCTGCATTTTCCACGTCCTGTCTTTCATATACCGTACCCGTAGTACAACTCCGGTTGGCACATTTTTGAATTCGTCAGGAAACAACTGAATATCACTTCGTGAAAAATCACGTTCATGTATCATCTTCACGATCCATTCAAAAACAGGGAAACCACCAGACAGGCGAAAACTTACGAACTACCAACAAAAGCCTCCCATCATAGAGCACGACGGAGTGTAAATTCCATTACCTGGGTTCCTATGAGCCACTCGCGCTTGGCCAAGAAATTGCGAACCAGGTCGCGGAATTTGCGAGGCGCTCGCTTATTCTTGCTGTTCTTGGCAGCCTTGGAGCGTCGCTGCATGCTCTCTCTGAGTATCGGCCACACGTCATCGCCGGGACCGAGTTTGTCCAACTTCTCGCTCGAGATGAACGCGATCGGCAGCGAGAACTTGACCGAAACATTCTGACGTTTCCCACTGACACCCACTGAAGCAGTGCGTTGTTGATCCGAGTCACCCGCACGTTCATCGGATCCTCCTGCTACTAACGGCATTGCTTCTTCCTCGCGACTGATCCCGCTTCCCGCGGAATCGGCCGGCATCTTGATCCCGTCGCGCGCGCCAGTGGTTCACCAGGCGTCACTTCGGTTGATTCGGGTGAACCGATCACATGGCCTGGCACGACATGCCATGGCACAGAGCATGGCCTGTCGTCTTAGTGTCGATTAGCAAGCCGAGCCTTGCTTGTGTTTCGTATTTGCCTCAAGGACCGACGGACACGGCTGCGGACATGACCGCTAGCTGGGGAACGGCCGGGCTAGCTGGCCACACTGTCCGCGCCGGTTCCGGACCCCCGACCAGAATAAAAAAAGAAATATGGCCGCTACGTGGGCTCTGTGTTTCTTCTCCCTGGAAGCCTCCGCAGGGAACGCGCCGATTCCTCGCCGAAAGAATCAAGGAGAGGGTTTCGACCTGAATCTCTCGACAATAACCTCTGTGAGTATCTTCCTTGATATTTTCTGAGTTCAGCACACGCGGATTTTGTAAGGATAACAAGCGGATTCAAACGTAGGTTAGATGGATCAGCTCGGAGTTCTATGTACACTTCACGACAGGTTGTCTGTCTCACCCGCGGAAACCCTGGCGAAGATTCGTCATGGTCGCCATGATGCACTACAACAGCAACTTACCAGTTCATGGTGGCTGGTTGCGGGGGGTGAAATTGAACGGCGAGTATAGTGATCATATTTCATTCAATGGAAACAACGTTGAAACGAATTACATGATCCACTCAGCTCGAAAAAAAAGGGATTCCACGTGATGTTGTTAATAATACGCATTCGGTTCTCTACCATGATTCATTTCGCACATCTTCACATTTTTCTGGGATAAAAATCAAATGCAGTCACCTACTCTCTCAAGAAATGTAACAATACAGTACGCGTGTGGTTAGTTTTTACCTTTTTTGCTTGAAATTTTAATGCACGTCAATGAGTTAAATTGGATTTTTCATCACCGACTTGATCAACACGATATTTGTATGAATTATCATTTAGTTTTTTCCTTCATAAAGCTGCACATCCCATCAGTAAAATATCACAAAAATAGTTTGACACCTTCAAACATTACTTGACTCTCAGGTATAGTTAGAGGATTGTTTGCTTGGTACATTACTAGCACAAAGAAACTAGCTGAAGATTGAAGTTCATAGAAATTGTATGCCCAAAATCTAATAAACATAAATTTCATTGGGAACACTGAATACTGTATCTTATATTTTATTATTATTAGAGAAGGTGAATTAGGGAACAACTCCAAAAATTACCTGCAATGGCTCTGTCAATAAAATCTACACACTTGTGTGCAGAAGAGGATCTTCAGGTCACGAAACTTGAATGACCCAGGATTAAACCTGGTCACTCTTATCATTTTTCTTGCCAAAAAAATCCTCCCACAGAAATCACATTGTCAAAGAAACACAGGTTTCACATGAGTGTTATTCCTGCCTGCTATATAGACGAAACTAAAAGCACAAGATCTAGTGCGACACAGGCGACACCTATGCGTCATTGAAGAAGACGTGCGCGCATTGGGACTTGCCAGCGTGGAGTGTGGGAGCAAAGGAACAGGTTGTCATAATATTGTAGCGTAAGTTCGCTCTGCAAAACCAGTCACCAGGGTTGTTGAATGTTGCATAGCAATAATCATACAGGATCAGCCAAGGGAGGAAAATTCAGACTGTTATGGCGTGATACCAGGAGAAGTTTACGTTCCGGAGAAAGAAAAGCGCGCGCGGTCACCAAGTGGTCCGCAGTGAAGCCAACTAAGCCCACTTGGCTAGTGTACCGGACCGTGCTGTACGGTACCGTGTCTCGTACCGGACAGCAGAATCACAGCTAATCGTTCGGCTCGTTTGCTTGTGTTTCGTATATGCCTCAAGGACCGACGGACACGGCTGCGGACATGACCGCTAGCTGGGGAACGGCCGGGCTAGCTGGCCACACTGTCCGCGCCGGTTCCGGACCCCCGACCAGAATAAAAAAAGAAAGATGGCCGCTACGTGGGCTCTGTGCTTCTTCTCCCTGGAAGCCTCCGCAGGGAACGCGCCGATTCCTCGCCGAAGGAATCGAAGAGAGAGTTTCGACCTGAATCTCTCGACAATAACCTCTGTGAGTATCTGCCTTAATATTTTCTTAGTTCAGCACACGCGGATTTTTTAAGGATAACAAGCGGATTCAAACGTAGGTTAGATGGATCAGCTCGGAGTTCTATGTACACTTCACGACAGGCTTTTGTCTGTCTCACCCGCGGAAACCCTGGCGAAGATTCGTCATGGTCGCCATGATGCACTACAACAGCAACTTACCAGTTCATGGTGGCAGGTTGCGGGGGGTGAAATTGAACGGCGAGGATATTGATCATATTTCATTCAATGGAAATAACGTTGAAACGAATTACATGATCCACTCAACTCGAAAAAAAAAGGGATTCCACGTGATGTTGTTAATAATACGCATTCGGTTCTCTACCATGATTCATTTCGCACATCTTCAAATTTTTCTGGGATAAAAATCAAATGCAGTCACCTACTCTCAAGCAATGTAACAATACAGTACGCGTTTGGTTGGTTTTGCCTTTTCTACTTGAAATTTTAAATTGGCTTTTTCATCACCAACATGATCTACACGATATTTGTATGCATTCTCATTTAGTTTTTTCCTTCATAAAGCTGCACATCCCATCAGTAAAATATCACAAAAATAGTTTGACACCTTCAAACATTACTTGACTCTCAGGTATAGTTACAGGATTTTTTGCTTTGTACATTACTAGCACAAAGAAACTAGCTTTAGATTGAAATTCATGGAAATTGTATGCCCAAAATCAAATAAAAATACATATAATTGGGAACCATGCATACTGTACCTTATATTCTATTGTTATTACAGAATTTAAATTAGGAAAGAACTTTAAAAATTACCTGCAATGGCTCTGTCAAGAAAATCTACACACTCATGCAAAATAGGATTTTCAGGTCACAAAACTTGAGTGACCCAGGATTAAACCTGGTCACTCTTATCGTTTTTCTTGCCAAACAAATCCTCCCACAAAAATCCTCCAACAGAAATCACATTGTCAAAGAATCACACGTTTCACATGAGTTTTAGTCCTGCCTGCTATAGAGACGAAAGTAAAAGCACAAGATCTAGTGCGACGCAGGCGACACCTACGCGTCATTGAAGAAGACGTGCGCGCATTGGGACTTGCCAGTGTGGAGTGTGGGAGCAAAGGAACAGGTTGTCATAATATTGTAGCGTAAGTTCACTCTGCAAAACCAGTCACCAGGGTTGTTGAATGTTGCATAGCAATAATCATACAGGATCAGCCAAGGGAGGAAAATTCAGACTGTTATGGCGTGATACCAGGAGAAGTTTACGTTCCGGAGAAAGAAAACAAGTCTGATGCATGTTTCTATACAGGCATTTTGACGAATGTTTCTCATAAAAATACTTATAGGAACCGATAAAACCCGCCATTTGTACGTGACAAATCAACAGGATGGAGGAAATACTGATCCATCAGATATCACGACGACACAAGACATTCCCAAGGTACAAAGCATGGCTCTGATGGGATTGAAAAGGTTATTCTCCTTCATTCCTTTAATGCTGTTGTTGACATTGATTGAAGATTATTCGGTACTGTATTTCCTTGAAGGTCAGGAGAAGGTTTATAAATGGATGCGTTATAATGGGGATTCAACCATATGTAATCCATCTCCATAAGTTTCCATTGTTCCTCTTGAACTAGAATGCTGGTCCAAAAAAAAAAAAAAACACTTGGCTTCAGCCATCTTTACTGACACAATACTCTGACAGGTTTACATTTTTCATATTCAAAATGAGCCCAAAAAGAAAATAATTAGTTTATCTTTGTCTTGTGATTCCACAATCTTACATTGGATTTTTAAAGCCATATTTCTCCCATTTGCATTTTCCACCATTGATTTGCAATTTTTAAAAATCCCAAATTAGTGTTATTTCTTCCTTCTCATACAAATATCTGGTCTCTTGATTTTCTTACTACAGTATATCCATCTGAATATTGTATTATATACTGTACTTCCACAAGGAATTGAAAAAGTAATTTTAAAATAAAACAGATGATAGAACAGAAGTGAATTTCGATTTTTTGGGAAGCAGCACAATGGAATTATGAGACTCAGTTACATTAACTGAAGATGTACCACAGTTGATGGAAAAATAGTGTTCTGATATATATTGACCATGCTCTTTCTAAGCAAAGAAAGCTTGTGGAAGACATGTCTTTTAAGTCTTTTATCAAACTCTGAAGCCTGTTGGTGGGCAAGAATTGCAAACTTTGAAGTTTGAACTTGTAAATGTGCTACTTTAAAATCAATGAGAAACCAAAAAAATTGCCCATAAATGGCCATTTCCCTAATGAGGTGAAATCTTTGTATATATTTAAAAAATGTCCATTCCAGTGTCTTAGATTTTGTATGGTTTTTGGAAATACTGTCCTGTGATTGGAAGCAAAACATGATTTGTTCCCAGGAAAGCTCTGTGTATAGAATACACTGCTATATTGCATATGCATATATTCAAACCATAAAAAAGTGAAGTCTAACACAAAAATAAGTTATCAAAAATTGCTCACTTCTGCAGCTGACTTACTGCTACAGTGAGGTACTGCATAACAAATTCAGAGCTTACATTAAATTTCCAGGCAGCTGTATATAGTATTCTTGAAGAAGTCAGCTGATCTCATTAATGCCTAATTAATGAATTGTTTAAAATTGGAGTAAACACAAAATAATTCTCAGTTCTTGTTTTCACATGATACATACTAACATAGAAAGTACAAGGAAGGCACACAAAAAGAAGAGCTTAATTAACCTTGCTCAAAGATTTTGGGAATGCACTTCATGGGTTGCATTTCAGTTGATGAAATAAGCTTGGCATAACCATACAGCATGCAGCCCAGCCTTCATTCATCTCCAACACTCCACAGGAAGGTCACAAAGATGCAAATTCAATTAGATCTGAGACTCTGTTCATGTGTGGAAAACATTACAGTTTGGATCACATTTTCAATGGGAACATGTTGAATCACTCAACATTTGGAAAAATTGGAAATAGTCCTTCAAAATGCAGTACTGTAAATTATTCTACAAGTTTGAAACTCTTCAAATTGCAGGAGAAGTAACCCACACAGTACCTATATGGTTTTATTTGCATGAACAGGGCTCCAAAAGGCAAACAAAGAAGTATACATGTTGTTACAGTATTCTGCAATGTACACATACAATAAAAAATCCAAAAATGAGAGAAGCACAAAATTAGCATGTTGAGGAAAGTAAGTCAAAGTATATTCATGATGGCATTTATGGTATTTTGTTTTTATTCCCATTGCAGCAGCGCAATTTTTCCAAGAAATATCACCATTTTGAAGAAATACAAACTGTATAGTGGTTTTATGGAAATGTTGGCAACTTTTCCCACTACTTGAAACATTGTGCAGATGTGGGGACATCTGCCATGTGTACTGGGACCTCACAGTACTGTAAAATAGTAGGAAACATAATTTCTGAGTTACAGTACTGCAACTTTCAGCAGAAACAGTGATGCCAAGGGTGTCAAAGTGGTGTACTTTTTGCAGTGTGAATAAATTGGTTAATGCATCACCAGAGCACCTTATTTTCTTATACCTGGCATTCCACAGCTACAGAAATGAGCTTCAAAAAGATTTGGGACTCTTAAAATTCTTACTTAAAAGACCCTTTCCAAAATCTTACAGGGCTGAGATAAACTGTAAACTTTATGCAATTTCTCATCAGAGATTTTCTCCAAATTGTTTAATCAACTAAAACTTACCTGGGAGTAGGCTGAACACCTTGTGCTTTAATTTGGGTTCAGTAATTGTCTTATATGCATTCAAAAAATTCCATTGAAACTTGTACACTCTTCCTACTGTACAGAGTGGCACTTCAAATAATGGGATGCATCATGTGTACCTTAACCCAGGTACCCCTATCATGAACAGACTGCATCTTAAAGGTATATGGTAGTTTGTTGTATACAACAAACTACAGGTGAACCTGAATAGCTCAAGCCTCCCTAAATCACATACCTCCTTAAGTCACAAAGGTTTAAAGCCCCTGTATGACTATAGAAACAATTCAGTAAAAATCTCCCAAGCATGAAGGTTTTTCTCCTCAAGCCACCTTAGCCCATGGATGGTGGAGGCTTCTTTTTCATTGCATGGCAGAGTTGGGATTTTTTTTAGGGGCAGCGCATTTCAGTTTGACCTAAGGTCACTGAGATGCTCCCAGGTTGAGAAGCCTTAAGTCTGTAAAATCCAAGAGGGGAATTTTCTATTGTTTTCAGGATTATCTTATGCAAACTCTATGCCAGAAATTCAGGAAACATGCCACCCATTGAGGGATTTTATTTATATTTTAATTCAACATTTTCTGCAGGGTTAAAAATAAATATTGAACTTTTCCCCCAACTTAGGCCTTGGTACAAAATTAGGATTTTTAAAATTTCCAGTGCTCTGTGGCACAAAATGTTGCAAAAATATCCTGACTTTGCCACATAAAGATTAACTGAAATTTTCTGGGGGCTTTTCAAATGTTTTTTTAAAACAGGAAAAATAAATGTAATAAAATGTAATCCATGTGTTTTGAAATAAGGTGAAAGAATTTAAAAGGCCAAATTATTCCTTGCCACCAAGTTCAGATTTCAGTCAAACCATTGGCCTAGAATATCACAAATTATAGTTTCATGCAATTCTTCTTCCTTTCTTTCTAAAAAAAAAAATGCTTGTTTCCACAACTAAAAGCCAACCAAACTCAATTGTGACTTTTTCTGATATCTTATTGAAGTTTGACTTGAAGTTGTTCAACTATATAACCAGCATATATCATGAGCTTTGAGTAATATTCCTTTTACATATGCAGACATGGAAAAAATTTTCAAGCCATATACACAAATACAAGTTTTGAAACCACACTCATGGACACCATTCATCCATACATATCATATAAAAAGCGGTCTCCTTCATCTCACATTTAAAACTTTCACACTTCGCACATAGATATGGCACTATATACAGCACAGTATATGGTCATGTAGAATTCCCCGCGTCACATAATAGATTTTATAACAACTA